AAGATGACACTGTGGAGTAGCCGTGGTGTAATACAAATTTTTACAATAAAAGCTGCATAATTGGAGGCATACTTCAGTTCATCTTGATTGTGTAGCTGTCACATTATCATTGTTTATAATATACACAAATGACATTGTGTTAGGCATACCAATTAAATCAAGTTTATTTTATTGTTGCTTAATGTTGTGGCTGTATGTCTCTGAGCTCAGTCCAGTTCCACTACAGCAATTGCAGCATTTTGTGCTCCATCATAATGAGTCAATATCTTGGTTTCTATTGTATAAAGCAGATGAGGTTTCAAAGATGTGGGTAATTTTTTCACCTTTATTTGCACTGTGTAATTGACAGACTAGTTAAAGTAAAAATCATGGTAACAAAAGTTTTTCCTTGAATGGTTGTGCCTTTGAGGACAGACCATACTCTTAAATTTAGAAGGAAAATAAATTTTTTTATACATTTAGGGCTGTCTGAAGATTCTTAGCTGTGTATTAGTGCTGAATGGCGCTTTGTTTATGTCCTGACAAATCCTCCTATTTATAAATTAAAATTTCACATGTGGAGAAAACCAAGCCCTGGAATGGCCTGTAAGTTAAATGAATTACGGTCTGTTTTGTATCTTATGCTATTAATTTTTGAAATTATTTTTTAAATTCATATGATAGTGGTCTGAATAACAAATGAGTATCCTTATGAAATCAATAAGGTTTTGTCTATGACATTTGCAGCAGTTTCCTCCATTATTAGCCATGAGTTTCATGGCCAAACTTGGAAATCACACCTAAGGTCTGAGTATTACTCCAGTGTTGAATTATTCCAAGTGAGTTTAGGTTTTGGGTTTGGTTTGAAGTACCCTGTAATCTTAAATCATACCATAACTTGGCTACCTTCCCCCCCTTTTTCTGTGATTTACCTGTTCCCATGGACAGTGAGAAAACTGTATGTACCACTCAGAAGAGTAACTATATAAAGTTCACTTTCTTTACCTATAAACATTCCTTAAAGACTTCTTAAAACCTCTAGAGCTGAGAATTCACCTTCTGCAAATGGCTGATTCTTTGAGTCATTAACCCTTAACATTTCAGTCTCTCCATATGAGCTGCTGCATCAAATGCACCTGCAAAGCTGCACTGGAAGATTGGTTGATTAGGGTAGTGCTTATGGATCAGATTTATCCTGATTCTTCCCGTTACCCTGTTTCCTTCTTATATCAAAGCTCTTCAATGGATTTTGCACCATGTCTCAGTTCCCCTTGGTTATATTACACAGAGCTGTATGGGACAGTTCATCACTTCTTTTGTAATTATTTCAGCAGGTGAAAAATTGCTCAGCAGTCTTCCATGGCTAGGATCTCAGCGGGTCTGTGCTCTCAGCACCCTCTCTCTGCATGAGAGCTAAAAGCATGGAATGTCATTGTTGTGTTGGAAATCTGTAGACTTAGCCCTGTTCAACGCTGTTGTTAACCCATCGTGTCCTCTGGGTGCTCTTCCAATATCAGTTTGTGGATTGAGGTGTTTGCATAGGGAACCTGTCACCAGGTGGTATCTGTTGTTAGGGTGCTGAGCCCTCCTGCCAGCAGAGTTTGCAAGGGATTACTGGTTCTCTCCTTAACAGTGAGTAATCACAGGAATGGAGCTTTAGATAATTCTTGAACCTTTCTCTTTCTCTTTATGTCAGATATATTTTGGCATTAGCAGATAGAATTAGACTTGTGACTCCTTAGTGCTCTTAGTCGGGTACTATTCTTAATCAAGGAAAGTTTTTGGTTTGGTTCTAAAGCTTTTTTCTGCCCAACCAGTGGTGTAATTTCTGTGCTGATAGCAAAAACATTATTGATAAAACTCTGTAGCTGCCAATATGCTTTCAGTGGAATATATTTGGTGGTTCAGCACTTCCTGAGACCAACAGATTGCTGTGCAATTTTTACTAATGCACAGTTGGCCAGCATCACCATATTTCTAATGGTGTCATCCAGTGTTTTTTTTTCTAGAAGACTTAGTAGTTTCTGAGAGAGCAGGTGTCCCTTTAGGGGGATGGTGAAAAGCCTCAATCAGCTCTTAGAACTTCTGCTTTTTGATACACAAACTTCTCTTTTCCCAATCAGAAAATAAATAAAGAGAGATGGTGATAGTGTCAGTAAAAGAAGCAGGTGAAAGAGCTGTTTATTCTCCATAAAATCTTGAAGAAATCCATTCTTTCTGGAAATGCATCCAGGAATCCAGTGATTTTTCTCCTCCAGAATAAGAATATCTCCCTAAACTCATTTCAGTGTAAGGCACTCCTTCTGTAGAAGTGAGTCTGTATAAAATGTTAAAGAGGAAAAGGCATCCCTCAAACTCCAAATTGCATTAATTAATTTATTAAATGTATGTCTTAAAGTGGAATGCTATTTAAAGTTCTCAAAGCGAAATTAGGTAATGATTTATGTGGTTTATGTGACTTACTAGGGATACATCTACTTTAGAAAAAAGCATTTTGGAATGTTGCAGTTGAAAGATACTTTTATTTGTCGCCATTGTACTGTTGCCTTGTGCACTAAGGTTTTTGTTATGCTTAAAACACAGTAGTCCCTTTCAAAATAAAATGAAAAAGTGACTCTCCTTATTTTGGTAATTGTTGGTCAAAAAATGATACCGAAGTAGCATTTCATACTAGTAGCATAGTGGTAATATGTCAGTGGTCAGACAGCAAACTTGGTATTTTTTTTGTAATAGTATGTTCTGTAAGGAGAAATAGCATACAATAAATAAGGTATTGGTGGTGACTCTGATGATAAAAGACACCTGAGCTTTCATGAAATTCTGGCATAAATACCACTCCCTGGCCCATACTGGAATGTTGGTCATTTTGCAACTTCTGTGAATGTAATTTAAAGGAAAATACTAATACTGACAAAGTATATTATGAAGAAGAAAGTAAATATGTGTTTGTCCTTAAAAGGAAGATGAATCAGAAAGCTCTGGCAGAGTGGTCTCTAGAGGTACCAAAATGTTAAACGAACAGTGTAAGACATTTTTCTGCCTGCCCTAATTTATGGTTCTGCTCTGTGCAGGGACTTTGTAAGAATGGAGCTCGACAGACCCTGTTTGAGTAATATCTGGGCGAAATTTCTATTGATGACATAATCTGGGAAGCACCTTTCATATTCAAAGCCAAATATTTTGTATACCTTACTGTTACTATTTAATCTTCTTTCAGTGTGGTTCCACATATTTCATTTTATTCACAGCTTTGAAGGCAGTTCAATTACTTGCATGCTTTTGAATTTGTAAACATTTCCTTTGATGTATAAGGCAAGCAAGAGTCTTACACCAGTTCGCTGTCCCACAGAGGCGCGAATCCTTTGAGATTGAGACAATCAACTTCTGCTTTTCACTGAAATTTTAGATATGAATTGAAAAGTTGTGTGAAATAGATTTTCTTTATCAAAAATTTTGCCAAAGTACCATTTAATGTAGAAATGCTTTAAGTAAGGGATATATATAGTATAGTTCAGTTTCTAAAGGCTTACTATGTAATTCATTTAAGAATGCAGCTTAGATTGGGTGATTTTGCCCTGACACATGACAGAAATTGAGTGTTTCAAGTGGAGAAGAGTAGCTTAAAATATAGCTGTAGGTAAATAGATCCCAAGGAATTTTTGCAGTCTTGTCATTTTTGCTCTGTTCTACGTAAAGTGTTAACTGGATACTGTGTTTGAATGGACAGAGTGCAAGGAGTGCATAGGGATTGTTTGTGCTCTCAGAAGTATTTGAAAAGTGAAAGAAATACATAAAAACCTTCTGTACATAAAGTGCCTTCTGTAAGTCTCCCTGATGGATAAATGAATATATGATGATTTATGAGTTACTATCTAAGTCGAGTAGAACCAGAGGAAGAAATCAGATTAGTGATAGCAGATGATCTGGAGAAAAGATGACATAAAAAACCTTTTTCAACCCTGTATTGTGACTATTTCAGAGCTGTTCAACACAACTTATTAGTGCTTAACCTGCAGCTTTGATGGATAACAAGAAAAAAACAGCATTGTGAAAAAATCGTAGATGTTAAGGTCAGGGCAAAAGTGTAGGAAGTGATTTTTTTTTTCTTAAATTATTATTTTGGGAGTGATATTTTTTCAGGAAAAGAATACATCAAACAACTGAATGAAAATGGTGTGAAATTAGGGGGGAAAAAGCAACTCTGCTAATTAGATAGACTGGTTAATATTAGTTGGTTTTAATTTAATTTTTCCTTCTCTGCTTCTAGGCTCTGTGCTGTTGCACATGATGTAATCATCTATTTTAATATTTTATTTTTCTGACTCTTTTAATGCCTTTTGCCCCATTCTCACTGTTTGTATCAAAGTTTATAAAACTGTCTTCTTCACTTACCTTACTAGCCACTTGCATCCCTTTGATGCTGTCTACTTAGCTTTCTGCAGGCTTGAGGCTTAATATAGACTTAAAGCCACAAGGGCACCAAAACCAGGTGTCCAAAACCAGACATAACCTCAAAGTTTTATCTTTTGAACTCTGAGATCTTCTGGTACACTTTCAAGAAGTTATATGTATTGTATTTAAGTATAAATCACCCCGAATAAATTCTTCTGTCATGGGTTCTTGTGTTATGTCAGAATTCTTTTGAGGGGGAGGGAGTGTCAGGGTAGGTTTTTTGAGGTGAGTATTTTTACTTTCTTCACCCTTGCTTTAGTGAAGATAACATTTGCATTAAAAATTTTGCTAGGATAAGGCTATTTGAAGTGCTTACTATTTCCACAGTTATTCTCAGACACTGGTTGAATTTTATTTTTATATTTGAGTGCAACTCATGTATGTTCTCTTCTCACATTGTGCACAAATGCTTGTATTTCTGTTCTTGATGATTAAGGAATGCACTAGAAATTAAAGAATTGGTCTCGCTGTTGAACAGTCTTCAAAGCCAAGAAAATATTTTGTGTCATTTCCTTAATGGAGTCATAGTGAAGTAACCTTTTTATATTCTGTTTTCTCTAATGCAATAGAAATCAAAGGTGGAAGAGAAAATCAAATTTCGTATTTGAAAATATCAAAACTAGCATTGGCCTTTGCAATTATCCACTCCAAACCACCAGGGAAGAGTTCCAAAGAATACACAGAGGACCTTGCCAGAACTGTATCTGAACAAGATTTTGGATGGAAATGGAAAGTGGAAGTGCTGGAAGCTGAAGTTCTTCAATTACGACAGGAACTTCTTTTAAACAGGATCTCTCCAAGATTCTGCTTGGAAAATAGTAAGTTCCTCAAATAATTTCTAGCTATGTTGCAATAGCAAGGAGCCAAACAGCTTTCATGTTGCCTGTATCATTTCTTGTACCTTGATGTGAGAGCCTTCAGTGTATAGTTTTTTGTTTTCCCAAAGTTCTGTGATAGTGGAACACTTAATTCATTTGTAATGGGATTGTGCTTGAGAATTTGATGCTTATGCAGAATTTATATATTTAAAGTTCAGAATCAGTGTATTATACAACATAATTGCAGACAAAGATTGTCAATACACAATGTTTCTATATAACCTTAGAAATACTTTGTAAGAACTAGTTTGCATTTACAGTTGGAACATGATTTAAAGACATATTGTATATTAAAACTATGCATATTTTTTAGCCACCCTACAGATTTTAAAATCAGAATTTAAGCCTAAAATGTTGGAAGCACTAATTCCTAATACGTGTAACAGGAAGGTAGGGCAGGCAATGGACTGTATATCTGTTGTTTCTGAGAGTGTATTGAGACAGTGGATGCTGTGAATGTTTTTTATGACATATAATAAAATATTGCGAGTCTGATATTATTGGATTCAGGAAAGCTTTTAGTCAAAGAAGAGTAAAAAAAAAAAAGGATGGTCTCAAACAGCACTGTTTCTTTGACTTGTGCACGTGTAGTAAATCATGCTCAGTTCAAGATATTGGTGGCACTGTGTGAGCTTGGAAAACAGGCAGTGGAGGATTTCTATAGCCTCTGGGGAGATACTTTCCTGGGAGATGAGGTCAAAATAGTCTGGGCTAAAGGAGAGAATCTAATATCATCTCTAAAATCAAGATGTATAGCTAATTGCTTTACGACTTGAGATTTTTAGAAGGTTCCCTGGTGGAAAACTTGATGAGGCTTTACCACGCTGCTTTTGTACTGAAACAGCGTCTTTATTGCCATGCCTAAAGATTTCTAATTTGTAATGTTGACTGATGGGGAGAGCATTAGACTTCAGCTAGAAGAATGGTATATGTATTTAATTAGTATAATAGACCTTTTTCTACAGAGAAGTGATTTAATGACTATTCTTGCATTTTTATTGTCTGCGTGTCTATTTTCTGCAACCTATTGCAAACATGACATTTAAAAAAGGAACTTTTCAGATTCAGTTTCCAAACAGGTTATGTTTTGAAGAACTGCCTGCATATTATCAGGAGAAATTTATAAACATCTAATGTCTGGAGAGGATATTCTAGTTTTAGATTAAGCAGAACACACAAAACACTACCGATTAGCAAAACATAGCAAACAAGATCAATTCACTTGCAACTTCCATATTCTAAGTGTAATTTTTGAAAGATTCTCTAAACTCTAAATTTTAATTGTGAGATAGGCAGAGAAAACTGTCCCTGGCAGATAACACCTCTTGCAAAGGATGTTAATTTTCATTACCCTAGTCACACTGAAGTTTGTTTTCAGATTTAAAATGTGGTAATATTTTCTAATTTTAGATGTCTTACACATGCACTGTTTCTGCTGAGTGTGCATTCATGATTACAATTCCACTGAAGACAAATGCTCCTTCTTGCTTTTGAGTGAAGAAAGGTTGTTGCTGGTACCTGGTGGAATATCTGTTGGTGAGATCTATGCACTCCTTGTGATAGCAAGTAGATGATGTATGTTAGCAGCAGAGCATCGGTGGTTGACATGTATGGGAAGATGGTTGTAGAAGCAAGGCCTACCTGAAATATGGGCCACTACACCACTGACATCTTCTGCCCCAAGATAAAAAAAAAAAAAAAAACACCTTTCTTGTGTGTTCTGTGCCAGTTTTGAGCTTTTTCAAGCCCATGGAGAATAGACGCTAAAGGGTGGCTACTGCTGAGATACAAAGGCACAAGGAGCTTGAATCTAAGTAAGGAGAAATAAGTGGTGTTTTAGCCTTTCAAGTGAAACTACTATAGATCCATCAAGCCATCATTATGTTTTCCCAGGTTTCCCACCTTAATATCATACCAGAGATATGCTCTTTAGGGCTGAGGATGATTACTAGGATTGCTCTTAGCACCAAGTAGTCTGCAGATATGTGTCCTTTTCCTCCTTCACTGATTTCTACAGCCTCATTTCTAGAGTTGGTGTTCTGCTTAAAATAATGCAGCCTCATAAAAATATTTCAAACTCCCAGCCTTTCTATGGCCTTCTTATGTTTTAATTAACAACTTCAGATACAGGAATATTTGGGTTTCACAAAATCCACCACCAGAAAATCTCATGCAGTAAGGATAAGACTGCATTTGTTCCTGCTGGTGCCTCTTGAGAACTGAAGAGTTTGAGTTCTTCAGACAAGATTCACTTTGCAGCTGTATATTCCCTGCTTTGCATCCCGAATGTGAGAGCTTTCCTCTCCCACCCAATATTTTTAATAATAGTAGTAGCTCTTTCAGAGACTTCAGGAATGACTAGAAACTGGCCATGGAGTTTTATTTCCCTGATGTGAGAAATTTGTGAGCTCTTTGAAGCTGTGGTACCTGTTTTCCCCCTCCACATACAGTTGAACACAGTACAGATGTGCAAATACATGAAGCATAAAGAACAGAGAATCCATTTTTAAAAGAAATTATGTCTAAATTTCTTTGTTCCACCTGAATAGTTCTTTGTCCTCAGAGACACTAAAAAGGTTGTGGGTTCCTAACTTAGGGGAAGAAGCATGCTTTGCTGCAGGTAAACTACTTGGTGGTGTGAGCTCTTACAGATTAATGTGTTTTTTATGAAAGTGCAGTGGTTAGAATTCATTGACTGTGCTGTGTGTGGAAGGTCCCTATTTGACTTACTGTTCAGTTGTCTTTCTGAATATAAGGACTCTGTTCCTTGGTGGTGCTTTTGGCTGTATGTCAATAATATGTGGATGGGGAGAAGCAAATCTTTTTGCAATTACCTGTTATTTTTCACCTTGATGGTGTTGTCCTGACAACTGAGTCCATAGGTAGAAAAAAAGTCAAATCTCATGTTAAGTCAAAGTTTCATGCGGTTCTTTGATTCAGATTAAAATTTCACAGAAAGGAGGATAGAAACTTCTTGGTGTAATTTCAAGAATAAGAATTTAAAGTATTTGAGCATTCTGTTGTCAGTTTGCATTTACAGTGGAATGTCTTCTGCCATGCCCTGGAGTTCCTTCCCGTTTTTAGCCTCCACAGTAGCACATGTGCCAGCCACCCTATCACAGTGTGTCTGTGTGTTTAGAGAAATGCTGACCTCTGAGTCACAATGTGATTAACCTGAATGTCTCATTTCTAACTGTATCCTGGGTCTGTGTTTCACCTTTCAGGATACTGTCCTCCATATTCTATTCTGTGTCAAAGAAGCAACTTGTATCTCTTTTGGGAATAATACCCAGAGAAAACAAGAATTTTTTATCTCTTGCTTCACTCCTTAACTTGGTGTTTCTTGAGGCATTTAGTTTTACGTGTGGAAAAAGGGAGCAACTTCCTTTGTAGATTAGTATGAATGAAGACACTTCAGTTTCATTTCTTCTCACTGGGAGCTTTATAGAACTGGAACTAGGCAGTTCAACAGCTGAAGTAAAACTGATTATAAGCATTACATAGCTACAGTTTACCAGCAGCCTTGCTCTGGGCCACAAAATTCAGCCTTCTCTTCCCTTTCCACTTCCCTGTAAGTTATGGCTTAGGAATTTCTTGCTCAAAAGGGAGAGGCAGAAACTCTGGGTGCTCTTCTTACACCCCAGGATTTCCCTGGTAGGCAAAGACAGGATCAGGTACGTCCTGCTTTGATGATAGCAGGAAAAATGATGGCCAGTCAAAATATTTTCTGAATAATTGGATTTCAAACTTCTGAAAGGGCAAAGCTCTCCATCATGACTTAAGTAATATAGCTTGTGATGTTTTCTCTGCCTCTTTACATTAAAAGGAGTGGTGGGAGAACATAATTGATAATAGATTTTTAAAGCTCATTTTCAAAAAGAAACCAATCAGATGATTTCAGAAAGGTCAGACCAAAACCTGAAGATTTCCTCAGTGGGTATGTTATCTGCAGCCTCATAAAGGAGTCTTCCTTGTTAGTGGGATTAACAGCAGTCCACACTGAATAATGATCATACAAACACATTAGTCTATTAGGGGAAATTATTTCCCTCCCCAGAAAGTAGATGAAATAGTGTGAAATGTTTACATATGTTGCTAATAGCACTTAGCAACAATTTTAGTTCCTATGACATGGTACTAAGGTAGAGGATTAAAGACTAGAATTTCTAAGTTATCATGGTATGTTTAAGGAAAAGCTGTTTTTTCAGGTTGGTGTGTTTAAATGAGCTGCTGTTACAGATTGCTGTGTCCTGTCATCACTTTCCTCCACTGGTATTTGGAACGAATACAAAAGCACAACAATTGCAGAGTAACTGTCAGCCTCTGAGGGATATCTTTTACTTCTTGTTTTTTCTATCTTCCTTTTTCTAAGGTCAGAGGATTCTCCATTGGGCAGCAGTCAACTCTTAATTTGATATTGCCATGGAAGACAGTTCCGATTATTTTTTCAAGTGCTTAGGGATGTAATGTTTCTTCATGAAGACATTCTACCTCCCTACTTCTTGCTTCCCCATCCCCCCCAATAAAAATAGGTATCTTTCTCTCCATTCTGATCTGTAAGGGCAGTCCAGTGTGTCATCTCAACATTTTTTCTCTAAGGCTTATGGGTGTCAGACACATAGTACTTCAGAAATGTAATTTGACATCTTAAGTGTACTGCTGTACTCCCACGCATCTACCAGTGGTAATAATGTAAGTAGGCAGAATGGCAAGGAATGTCTCACAACCTAAGAAGTGTTTTATATTTTTATGAGGAGAATAAAGAAATGAGAGCAGATCTGTGAGATGGCAAAAACTAAGTTAAATTGTGTTTAGCACAGATTTATGGGAATATGGCTCTTGGAATATGATGATGAGATAAATCTGTTCTCCATAATTGTATTGACACAATGGGGAACTCTATGAAAGCTGAGGCCTTTTCAGGATAATTAAATAAGTTA